CAGAAGACTGTTTCAAGCAGTTTAGGATAAAGAAAACTCAAATTTCAAAATCACTTGAAGGGCTTGCTAGAACGCAGAATGCTGGGATGAGGCCTAATAATTTGTACTTTTAACAAGTTCCCAGATTAATGTTAATGTTACTGGGGCTACATTTTAAGAACCTCTGGTGTGTATTAGTAAGGCTAATAATAAAGAGTATGGATTCCACATACATTCAGGGATAAAATCTATTGAACTTGGAGGTTAGTTAGTATGAGCTGGAATCTGTAAAATACTTAGTATTGGAAAGCAAATTCAGCTTTGTAGTAGAGATGACTGTCAAAAAAAAGATACAATCATAATTTATTTTATGGGGTGGTTTACCTTGAGCAAATGATGGAAATCTTTCTTTTAAAAAGAAATTCCCTTTGTATTTCTAAAGGCCTCTTTGGGGGGAATTTTTTTTTTTTTTTAAGCAAGTAGAATAACTGTCCTTTTCTATTAAAATACTTTGGGCTCAACTAGGAGGTTGAAAGTCATAATTGGCATACTTGGTCTGTGCTCTGTGTAAGCACTTTCTTTTACCTGATGAGGACCAAGATTATACCCTGAGTCATTGGCAAGTAAAGCTGCTGTTAGAGCTCCTATCTTTCAGCTCTGTGTAATATTGAGAGTATATCATTTAGACTTTGTGTAGTTAAACCTTTTGTGGAGTGCACTCTGCAACCAAACCTCAGGAAATCATGTGATTATACTTAAGTGTTGTTCAAAGCACTGTTCAGATACTATAGGAGTTATAATAATGAATTGAAATTCATTCTCCAAGTTAATTACCATAGAATTTAAAGTGATATGATTTAAAGCAGAGTTCAGTTTAAGCTTTTAGATAGTTACATAATATAGAGATTCAAAAAAAAATAACTGTCACATCTTGTGGAATTATCTAGAAAGGCCTTGTCAGTAAAGTGGCGCTTAAGTAAATTCCTTTTTAAATTGGAATGCTACTTCACTTTTACAAATTGGTAAAAATATTAATGTATAAGCACTCTTATACAACTCTAGGAGCTAAGTTATATACAACTCTTAAAATTTTTAAACGTAATATAAGATACAAGTGAAACTGCAAACCAACAAAACTTGAATTTACAAATTAATGGATAACAAATACATTGCTGAAATAAAATCCTTGCTAACAATGTAGATTTAGTTCAGTGTTTTAAAGTGAAGGTTTTGGGGCCCAGTTGCTTGAGTTTGAATCCTGGCTTTGCCACTTACATTCTATACATTTTTGGACAAATTGCCTGGCCTTTCTGGTTTTATCATCTATAAGATGGGAGTTTCTGACTCATAGGACTATTGTGAAGACTAAGTTAGCACATATAAAATGCATGGATAACTTTGACATTATAAGAAATATGCAGAGATTCCTGGCAGTTATTACTGACTACTATGGCAAAGATTATTTCAAGCTCAATGTTCCTGCCTTTATGTCATATAGTGACTCAGTTCTCCAATTGCATTTATATTACTCTGATACTGAGTTTGATATCTTTGGCATTCATTAATATGCCTATGTCTTTAACTTAAATACCTATTTTTTTACAATGAGAAAATACAGTTATCGTTTGGACTAGATTAATTGAGCATTCTCACTGAAATCAGCAAACTTACACCTATTTTTCTCCCCTAGGAACTAATTAGAAAATTAGCCATTGAGATTTCATTGTGATGTTTCTAGAACCCCTGAAGTTCTTTCCCTGTGGCATATCTACTAAATGAACTAAGGCATAATCAAAAGGTGGCTTGGTAGCGTAAAATCAAAATTATCAATTCGAAAACCTTGTATTATATTTCCATACTAGAGTTAGCAGTATTGATCCTATTTAAGATTAATCTTAGAAGAAAAGTAGATTTTTTAAAAGGAAAAGGTATTCATATTCAGATGGTGGATTCAGCTGGAGGACAGGTATGAATGAAGAATATATGTTTTTGTTCCAGGGTCAGTGAGGTATGTGATTTAGCTAGATTTTCATAGGATATATGAAAGAGAGTTACAATAAGTTAAACAGGGAAGATAGGTTGAAACCATTTCCTAGAGGACTTGGCATAACAAAGTGAAATATCAGGCAAGCACTTTTTCCTCCCTTTCTCCCAGTTTTGTTTTTGCTTTTGAGTGTTAAGGTGGTATAAACAGAATTGTGCTTTAGGATGTGAAGATACAGTGTTTGAATGGGTTAGAATGTGGGAGGACCTAGACAAAAAATTCAGAGAGGTGACCACAGTAGTTCAACTAAGAGTATCCACAGCTTAAACAGAGAGGAAATAAAAGAAAAAATAGCATATGAAGAATGTCATTATGTTAGACTACAGGATCTGGCCACATACTGTGTGTAAAGATTGAGCGAAGAGAATTTAAAAATATCAAAATTTCAGTCTGAAACAGTGGCAATGGCAATTAAGAAGCAAGTAAGAGTAGTCTGTTTTTTTTTTTGGAAAGCAATGAAGAGGCTTGGATATGTTGGATTGGAGTCTGGTAGAATTCCCAGATACAGGCACCCAGCTGGAAATTGGCAAGTTCAGAAATAGACATGTGGATAAAAATTGGAGCGTTGTCTTACAGGTCGAAATAATAAAAGATTATCACAGGTCAAAAGGTAAGAAGACAAAGCACTACTGTCATGGAGAAATATTTGCTTACCTTAATAAGGAAGGAAGAGGAATCAGGAAAGAAATAACTTAGAAACAAAGAGAACTAAGTATTCATACGCTGAGACAGGAGAGATATGCAAAAGAGAGGGGAGAGTCTGTAGACTGAAAAAGAGCTACAGTATTTGGTGATTGGAAGTCACTGCAGACCTGCAGGGCAGGATGTTCTTCCCTCTCACCTCATAGAGTATGAATTATAAGGGAGTAGGGAGTGAATGGAGGCTAAGGAAGAGGGAGGAGGCAGTGCCTATAAATAGTTCTTTCAGCAAGTTATGCAGTGAAAGAAGAAGATTGGAAGAGGGTGATAGTGGGTTCCAGAAATTATTTCCATTGTTTTCTTTATAGATGAGAAAACTTTAGTTGAGGAAAGAAATAATTAAAGAATTGAGATGAGCAAATGACTGCTTAAGATTTGTGAGGAGCCTAGAAAGAATATGATCGAGAGTACTAGTGGCTGGTTTTGCCCAGATAAAGAAAATAGAGCTAATTCAGAGAGAAGGGGAAAGCAGCAGTGAGCAGATGTCAGGAAACTTTGAGGGAGAAGAAAAGAAAATGGAGAGAATGTTATGATAAGTTTTCAGTATTCCCCAGAAAGATAAAGCAGAGGAATCTGCTGAGAGGAAAGATGGGATTGGAGTTGGGATTTGATGGTAGAAAAAGTCTAGAACAGCTACCACTAGGTATTCATTAGGGAGTTTACCAAATGAAGAGAGGATTGTAATGATATAACAGAGTCAGCCAGCATGGCTCTGCGTATCTTTCTCCAGGAATATTAAACTCAGTAATGACAAGGAACTTGAATGCAGTGGTAGCCCAGTCCTGTAAACATGGCAAAAGACCATGGATTAAGGGTGTCCGAGTTTACCAAGTGTTTTGTTGAAATCACAGCAGGAACTCCTAAATGAGTAAGGATTCAAGTTAAGTCTAAAATGGTTAAAGATTTTGATGAGGATAAAGAAGAAATTCAGTACAGGAATAGGAAGAGAAAATGGGCTAGAAATTGTCAAGTTTTAAGAGTTTAAGGTATTGGAGCTGAAGTATGTTTAATGTTGAAGTCCAGGACTTATGCCCAGAGGTACCTGTAAAGTAGAATAGAGCTGGACACTACTTTTTGGGAAAGGTAGACAGTCTACAAGACCAAAGTGTTGGTAGATTAATTCACCAAAGGTACTGACAGAGGATAGAATAGAGAAACACATATGAACCTCTTGGAGAAGAAAGATGAGAGTTGGGTAAGTCAACACTTGAGCTTCAACTGAGTGGAGAATGTTAATGAGTTGAGATTAGAGGAATAATAGTGCAGAAAGAACAGCAAAATGAAGGGGTACTTTGATCTTCCTTGCAGTATTTAAAAACCCTAGCCCTGGCTCCTATACTTGCTATGACTTTGGGTAAATTACTTAACCTCACTGAGCTTCAGTTCCTTCATCTGTGAAAACTAGATAAAAATAATGTGAACCTTACAGGATTATTATGAGAATTAAATTAGCTGATATATGTAAAGCATATAGCACAGAACCTACCAAATAAACATATTAGATGCTGTTGTTGCTGTTGCTGTCACTGACATGTATAAAAGATATGTGGCTCTTGCATAAAGTAGGCTATGCTGTGTCATTGGTGCAGCCCAGCATAGACATCATTGGTGGCCAGTTTCATTCCTTACACTAAAAGCGTTAATACCAGTAGTCCTTTATATTTCTCACCAGTAAGTCATAGAACTGACCTGATCTCACATATTTTTGAGGAGTTTATATCATCACAAAAATGCAGTTTTGAGTATATTTGAGGACAAGAGTATCCATGGAATCAAGGGAAATTGTTCCCAATATTACAGGACCAATGGAACATATAAATTTGTACCACATCAAAATAAACTGTGGGAGTTTCATAGAGTTCCATATCTAGAGTTGAAGCTGGCAAGACCAGGAGTTAGGAATATACAGGATATCATGGTAATCTGGAACATCACGTTAGCTATAGAGAAGCAAGCTGGTGCTCATAGAAAACATACCAGTACAATATCAGGATCCCAGCTATCAAAACAAGACAGGTTATAGGACCTCAGAAAGAAGAGACTACTTTTTTCTTTTTTTAAATTTACGTGCCCTTTAAATGGACCGTGGAATCTCAGTTCTAGGAGAGCATATAATGAAAAAAGTTACTGTAAGTTCTAAGTAACTGCTCTTTCTCTTGGCCCTCGGAATTTGCTCTGTGGGAGCTTGTTTTTCAAATGTTTGGTCACATGAAAAATCTTTGACCTGGGAGTTTGCTTTCTACCCCTCTTACTGCTTTTTCCTTGTTGTTTCCGACAGGTAAATGGCCAAGACCTAAAGAACCTGCTACATCAGGATGCTGTAAACCTCTTTCGTAATGCAGGCTACGCTGTGTCCCTCAGAGTGCAACACAGGGTAGGTGTCATTGGCAGCCGACAGCCTGGCACCAGGCTTTTGTACCATTCTTGAGAATAAACCCTCTGGTGTCATCTTTGATATTGTGTTTGGCTTTTGTTTCTTTCTCTTTTTTTAAAAGATTTATTCATTTATGCATACAAGAGCTGGGGTACAGGTCAGAGATTCAGGGGGTGAGAGGATTCACCAGAGACAGGGTGGGGAGCAGAACAGGCAGACTGACTGAAATACACTACGGAGAGGAGCAGCTGGCGAGACAGGAGAGGTCAGCCTTGCCATGTGGGTTGCTCTCTGGCCGGCTGGGGATTGAACTTGTGCTGCAGAGGCTGCGGATTGCTTCGCAGTGCGGTACTCAACCCCTTGCACTACCGGGGAGGCCCCTCATTCTCTTTTGATGAGCTTCTTTGAGATAGATCCTCTGGGGCTTCTGCTTATTATTAAAGGAAACTCTTAATGGTGTGTTTGCAACGCAGGTTCTAGCTTCAAGGTAATGTAAAGCTTAAATATAAAGCTTGAAAATGAAATTTGAAAATACAACCAGAATTGATTTTATATTTGTAGTAGGGAAAGAAATACATGTCTGCCTTTGAACATTCTTATTTAACAAACTAACTATGATGTTGGATTTTCTGATATCCACAACATGCTGTTTCCTTTCACCACAAGGAGCCCTTTTCTTATCCCCTCGGTGATCATCTTGACCTTAGCATTAGGGCTCAACAGGAATCTCCAAGAAAAAGGAAATTTATCAAGGCAGCACCCACCCCTGCATCCACTGCTTAGTTTCTAATATTTTAGAATTTTCATGATAGGGAGGGAAGCCTGGGTGGACAGAATTCCTCCCATACGAAGTACCAAGGATTTTAGAGTACATCTACAGTACAAGCTCAGTGTTCCTTTAAAGTTACTCCATCTTAATTGATCCTCCCTTGGCATGAGTGAGGCTTCAGAGCCTGAAGAAGAGTTCAAAAGGAGATACTGAAAAAAGTGGAAAGGGCAAGGCATGAAAGATAATTAAGGGAAAAAAACAGTTACTAACAGAATCTGGGAGTGATAGGTTAGAAAACAGGTCCCCAGGAGACAGTATTGGTAATCAGCTGCTTCTGCCGTGGCTCTTCTTTGTTTCTAAATCATGGAAGGATTTATGCACTAGATGAAGGCAAGGTATTGTAGGCACGCGCTTCAGATATGATTAGAGTTCTTTGTGAAGGTGTGTGGGAAATGATGTCCAGTGTTCACTTTCTAGGAAACATCTATAAATAATACCTAGTAAAGCAAATTCTGGTCAAGGAATTAGCCTTGCCCTAAAAACCATGTCTTTCTGTTGAGCATAACCTCTCAGAACATCTCGTTAGGAAACAAATGAAAACTGTAGAGGTTGGAATAGTGTGGAAAAGGTAGTTTGTGCGGTCTTGCCTTTCAGATTGAGGGGTCATTTTCATGTAATGACCAGTTAAATCTAACCAAACCAAAATGGTACCATAATTATTGCAAGTTAGCTATTGAAAGTCGATATTAAGAAAAAACACCCTTAAAAATAATGACTGGGCCTCTCCTGGTGGTGCAGTGGTTGCGTGCTGGGCTGCAAAGTTGCCCGCAGCCTCTGCAGCACCAGTTCGATCCCCGGCCGCCGGTGAGGGTCCCACGAGGCGCGACAGACCTCTCCTGTCTCGCCCGCTGCTCCCCTCACCAGTGTATTTCATCAGTCTGCCTGTTCTGTTCCCCACTCTGGCTCTGGTGAATTCTCTCACCCTCCCGTGCTTCTGACTGTACCCAGTGCTTGTATAAATAAATAAACAAATCTTAAAAAAAAAAAAAATGACTAAAATGAAGAAAGACCATCAGCCACAAAAGGGAATGCTTAAGGCAATGGAAAATTACAATCACTACGATGTGATTTCTTTTTACTTACTGAGTCATTTGCCTCCGCTCCATAGATGTTTAACCTTTATTTGTGGCTAGTATTACAAAATAGGCAATGCTGGGGCCTCCCTGGTGGCACAAGGGGCTAAGCACCATACTATGAAGCAGTCCACAGCCTCTGCAGCATGAGTGATTCAATCCCCAGCCAGCCAGGGAGCAACCCACCTGGTGCAGCAGACCTCTCCTGACTTGCCCGCTGCTCCCCTCAGCAGTGTACTTTGGTCAGTCTGCCTGTTCTGTTCCCCACTCTGTCTCTGGTGAATCCTCTCACCACCCCCCTACATCTCTGACTTGTACCCCAGCTCTTGTATGCATAAATAAATAAATCTTAAACAAAAAATAGGCAGTGCTGGACATGGCCCCATTTAGGAGGGAGTGGGTTCCTTTTGGGTATTGAAGGTATTTATGTGGCATTGCACTGCATTAACATGACTCAGATCTGCTCTTATTGCACTCTGATGACTGATAATCTAAGTAAAAATACCTTTCCTGGGCCTCCCCGGTGGCGCAGCGGTTGAGCGCTGGGTTGCGAAGCTGCCCGCGGCCTCGGATTCGAACATGAGGGTCCGCATGGCGCGCAGACCTCTCCTGCCGCCCGCTGCTCAGCAGTGTACTTCGGTCCTTCTGCCTGCTCTGCTCCCCGCTCTGGCTCTGGTGAACTCACCCTCCCGCACTTCTGACTGTACCCAGTGCATGTATCTAAGTAAATAAATATGCCTCTAAAAAAAAAAAAAATCTTTCTTACCCAGTACTTTTCAGATCCCTATTGTATCAATAGGCTTCATCATATCTTCATTTCCCTGGTAAGAGTTTGGTAGAGGCAATAGAGAAACAGAAAGAGGTTATCTGACTTAGAACCCCTTTAGGTCAGTAGCATGGTGAGGTAAAATGCCTCCCATCAGGCATTTTGTTTCCAAAGAATCATTGACACGGAAGTATCAACTCAAGAGAAAGAAAAAGGACTCCCTTGCCACTAGTGCTTCCAGGTTTATTGGTTTGACTACTCTGGAGACCCTAGACCCAGCTGTTATGTCAGTTTGAACTTTTTTTGTGGTAAATATGCATTAGGCACTAGAGTTAACATTTTTCTTTCCCTTCCAGTCACAGGTGCAGAATGGGCCGATAGGGCATCGAGGTGAGGGAGAGCCCAGTGGTGTTCCCATAGCTGCGGTGCTGGTGCCAGTGTTTGCCTTCACCATGGTACTAGCCTGGGCCTTCATGAGATACCGGCATCACCTTTGAAAAGTTCACGTTCTTCCAGTGCTCCTGATGAAGATACATTTCTCTCTTCTCTCATCCTCCTTCCCTACCATTCTCCCATCTTTCCCTCTCTCTGCAAAGCCTACACATGGTTTAAAAGAGACTGCTACCCAACCAGAAACTTGCTGTTGAAAATTTTCAAATCTTCGTACTCTAATGGGAGAGTAAAGTCCGTGTTTGAAGGAAAGCTGAAGACAAGACTTGCTTAGAACAAATTATGTATTTTACTAGCACCACCAATGGAAGTTAAGCTGCAACCCAAAGAAGGAAAGATCCAGTCTTTTCATTCCCATGGGTAATACCTCTTTTCTAACTGGCATGCCTCAGAGACCAGAAAAGACCAGAGAGGATTTTTCTTTTTAAGATCTTCCTTGGGAAGTTCCTGTGGCCTTTATTTAGTTTCAAACCACATACTTGGGTGCCTATATTAAACAAAAGAGAATAAAGAAAGCATTTTTACTTTTTTTAAAAATGCAAATATATGTATGACATATACCTACGTGTACACACACACATGCAGACATGGTTGTGTAACGGTGATGCCTTATATAGGTGGAAAGCTATTTTGCGGTTTCTAATGCAGGGAATAATCTTTATTGAATCTGAGAGGGAGAGTGAGCTTTAAATGAGGAAGCCCAATCTGAGTCATTAAAAAAGAAAAGAACACTGTAACAACTAATTAAAAATTTTAGAATAATTTTTTTTTCTCATATTAGCTGTGATGAAGTTGAGGTAAAATACCATAATCTAGCTTTGCACAAATCAACCTGTTGAAAAATCTTACAAATCTGGGAACTATCCTAGTGACTTTTTGGGAACCTTACAGCCCTGTTAAAGGATCTCCTGGAATGACTGTATCAGAGTTGCATTGATGGTGCCAAACCAACCCAGTGAGAAAATTCTAGAAAGAAAAAACAGTGCCTCCCTGGTGGCCTCTGAACGCTGGCTGTCACCAGTCTTTTTGGTTTCTAAGAGCGGGCAGATTCTGAGAGAACAAATTGCTTCCCTGCAGGATGGGCATGAAATCAGTTCTGCTTCTGGTTTGGTTGGGAGGGTTTGGATTGCTAGTTGTTTTTTTCTTTTGCTTTTAATTTGTTGTTGAAAGGCTTTAAGTACTGGTTATGGCTTCTAATGAATAAGTCATTTTGCTTGAGAGGGAAAGAGGAGGGTTTTGTTTGTTTCTGAGGTAGGGAATTTTGATGGACTTTTCATGGGGAAACCTTGAAAGAAGGATGTGGATGAATGGGCAGTAAGACAGTAACAAGGAGGGAAGCCTCCTGCTTAGGTAGCATTGAAGGGTGATTTTAAAACACTAAGAAGAGAGAACTGAGCCTGACTTTTTGGCTTTAAGGAAAGTTTTCTATCCTCCAAATATACAAGCCAGATTGTGAGGACTTTCTCTCAGGCAACCAGTTATGTCCAGTTTTTAGTATGGATAATTTAGAATTTTTCAGATGTTGATCACATATCAGCTTCGTTAAGACACTTTCTACAAAGACGCGAAATACATAGCCTCCACCCCAAAAAGTTTTTTTTTAGTTCCATTTGGAAAGAGAACACACATGCATATAAAAATGACATTAGTCCATAGGCAAGGCATTGTAAGTTGGTATCAAGTTTATGTTGCAGACAGCAAAAGGAAACGGTTACTGAGAATTGAGGGACTTGAGACAGTTGCATGGAAGAAAGGGACAAGATAAGGATCCTTGAGGAAATTACAGTCTAGTTAAATGATCTCATAAATAGTTGAGAAGTTAAAAAGTAATTAACAGTTGAAAACAATAAAAGAAATGATATTGTTCCTAACACAACGCAATTACAAAGATGTCAGACAACCATCATTTTTTATTTTGGCATTTAGAAGAAGAAAGCTGACCCCTAATGGCATCAGGCCAGAGTAGAGAGGGAAGGCTTTTGAAAATAAAAACCCTGGTAAGACTGTCCCTCTGGGATCAACTATTAGTATAGGGAGCAACGTACTTTAAATAACCGTGGTAAGACTTCATGGTTTTAGACCTGAACTCTTCAGCACCTTTGAGATTCACTTAGACAACTGCATTTGTAGGTTACACAGAGAAACACTGACAGTATTCCAGTTCTCACCTCCACTGGCCCCACTGTAGAGCACAACCTCTGGCGCCTTCCGTGTCTGGTGGCGCATGCAGCAGCTTCTACAGTGGACCTGCTTACCTCCTGGACTTCATCTCAGGCTTTAGACACTCACTCCTGAGAGGACCTTGACACGTACAAAATGAAGTAAATGGCAAGCAGGGAGGAAACTAGTTTTTTGTTTGTTATATGTAAATAAAAAGAACACCTATCCCATTGTTGGTAGAAGTTTTGCTTTGACTGCTAATAGGGATTTTCATGCACTTTAATATTTCAGCTTGTCTCGATTTAAATAGCATTTATAGATCAATATATTAATTTTTAGTTAGATATGCTGTTATTTAGGCAGATATGTCTTATTTCTGGTTCTCTATAAAAGTAAATTATTATAGAGGCGGTATCAGTCTATTGTAGGTCATTAAGAAACACATCCTCTTTCCAGATTAACTCTAGTATTCCTTTTCAAAATTGAGGCAAAGTATTTTTGAGATCATATATTTAAAACACCTCTCTATGTATCATTCTATCTTGTACATTAATTCTAATAAGATTGTTTGCTTTGGTGTGTCTATTTTTTTCCTGCCAACTATTAGTGTGTGCTGTTGATTTAACTTAACTATCCCAGTTAGCCATGTGCAATGGAAAAAGCAAATTATTGTTTGTATTCTGTAATACTTGCATTCTGTGCTAGGTTCTGTACTAAATCGTGACTGGTGCATTATTTGTTTTTGACTCACAACTCTGAGATCTAAGTATTGTTATAAAGACACCAAAAAAGAAAAGCATAAATTACTTCCTTGAGGTTACATAGGTGGTAATAAAGAATCAGGATTTAAACTCAGGACTTCAGGTGCCACCATCAATGATCTTTCCTCACTGGCAGTGTTTCTCAAAGTGAGGTCTCTGGACAGTGTGATTACCTAGGAACTTCTTAGGAAAACACGTTCTTTGGCTTCACCCAGACTTACATTCGGTTTCTAAACCGACTAGGGCACCCAGCCAATATTTGTTTTAATAATCCTTCCCAGTGACTGATTGTCACTAAAGTTTGAGAATCATTGCTCTTTGCCAATACTTAATCTCCTCAGGTTAGAATCTCCTAAAGAGCTAAAAAATTCTGCTGCCCAGGCTGTATTTAGACCAATTAAATAGTATCGCTGGGGGGAGCACTCAGTAGTAAAATACAGTCCATTGGTTGATTTCAGTGTGCAGCTTTAGTAAAAAATACATTTAAACCTAGCATTAACTGGTTAAATTGCATAAGACGTTTCTCCATTCAAAAATGAGGAATTCTCTTAGGCATATTTAGTGTCCAACTGTCCTGAGTTGCCTCAAGTCTAGATGTGGAATAAGATGTGAAACATTCTTGGACTTCTTATTTGCTCTGGCAGACCAACCTCCAGCAAAATGTATTAGTGAGTGTTTGAAATTGCGATCTATTGAAATAGAAACAAATCATAGAACACTAGAATGAAAAGGGAACCAGAAAGTTTCCAGGATGGATCTGTCTTGAGATGAGAAAATGAAGGCTCAGGGAGGTGAGTAATCCAGATTGATCAAAGACTTTGTTGCAGAGGTATCCTTTCTCATGTTTACGTCTTGAATGTATCCACTGCATGAACAAACACAGAACTATCCTTTTTATCTCAGTCTGATTCCATCTTCACTGGGACTGAATAAAAGATTGTAAGAATTGACTGATAGCTGAGGATATTATAGGCATTGTGCAAAATTGGAAGGTTTAACAGACAAATCTAAGATGTTCGTCTCAACCAGATAAACATCAGAGATTAATTCCAGTGGCTCTAGAATAGAAACATATGCCTTTTGATGTTGGACATTAATAAGTTAAAATATTTTAAGAATGCCCACTGATAGAGGATTAGATAAAGAAGATATGATATATCCACACAATGGCATTCTATTTAGCCCCTAAGGGAAAACCAAGAGTTGCCATTTACAGCAAAATGGAAGTTTGAAGGAATTATGTGTAGTAAAACAAGTCAGAATGACAGAAAAATATTAGACTTTGATATGGTGGACTATTCAACAAAGCAAAATAAATTTTTCAAATAAAAGCTATTTTGATGCTAGGTCTCTGGGAAGAAATAAAAAAGGTATAGGGTCTATCCTTTAAAAGCTCATCTAGCATGACAATGTAAACCAAAGTAGAGGATGCTAAATAATTACATAAATAAAAACACTTAAAGGAACACAAAGGAGAAAGCAATAAAAATATTTAAAGAAATGAAATAAAGGAACATTAGGCTGTCATTGTGTGTGGGGTGGAGTTCATGTTACATGTGTTACATGTGGAACCAATAAAGATTTTACTCTAATCAATTTTAGATGGAATTGATCTTTGGACAGGTGAAGGTTTTTCCTTCATTCAGCAGATGAGTGGCTACTGTGCTAAATGTTGAAGATGCAAAAGACAAAGTCACTACACTGAAATAGCTCATTGTCTGTGACAGGAGGCATGTTGATTATCTTGATGTTAAGTATTTTTCCTAAAAAAATCTAGAAGTAGAAGGTTGAGTTATGAAACTCTCTACCTCTCATTTGTAATAGTTTAGGGTTGGTTACTGTCCTGGGGTAAGCCCGTTTTGCTGTCTCTCTTTTATCTGCAAATCATTTTGAGACCAGACCTCAAATCCCCAAGTGTAATTATGATCCAAAGGAAGACAGTTTTCTAAGGTATTATGTTCTGATTGGAGCCAGACTTTTAACTGCCATAGACTTTTGCCTGATTCTGTTACAGACTACAGTGTACTTGGTCTACTTACCTGATGCACTTGATGTTATTGTAATAACCTGTATTGTAAGAAAATGGCTGTGTCTAAGGAATCAAGTTATGCAAATGCTAAAGCCCTATTTCTAAACAATTTTACTCACTGGTGATGTTATCTTTCTTTTTTGCAGGGGGGAAAGGGAAGGGGAGAGGACTGAAATTTGTTTTGAAATGCAAGTCAATCATTACTAGGGTGAATTATAAAAGAACTTAGTCTTTACTGTAATCATTGCATTTATTGACCACTCAGGGAAATGGGGTGATCCTTCTTCCTAGTTTGCAGATTTGCAAATGGATTCACAGAATTGAATCTCACTTTAATTCTGTGTCTGCAGTGTTGATTTGAACGAGTTTCTTATTACTAATATATGTACATTTTGCACACAGGCTATATTAGCTCTTATAAGATAATTTCCCTTATAACCTTATTTTGCTTCCCTTCTACTTTGATCCCCATGTTCCATAGCGTGCTTGGATCTAAATGGCAATCAGATTATCAGATCAAAAAGATGCCTTAACAACTTGGAAGATGCAGAGACACAGCCGTATCCTCCAAGGAATATCACGACACCGTTTAAATGTGTTAATGAGGGCATCAAAATAGATGACAGTTGTTCCTTAGCTTTGCTGCTTGATAACAGATACAGCAAATGGAGTAATAATGTACTTCACTGTGCCTGATTCAGTATTGTCATTCAATAAAATTTGTTGGATTTGTCCATGAATTTTTATCTTTTTTCCCCTAATTTTGAAGGTTGTTGAGTAAATACCTTCTATTTCCCTGCCATTTTGGAGGGAGGGGGTGACATCTCAGACAAAATAATGGAAATAGGAAAGAAAGAAATCAAAATGGTGAACTTAAGGCTTAGCTTTGACAGGAATTAAGAATGGGACACTATCATGTACTGCTAATAATAACTGGCTAACAGGGCTCATCATTTTATTTCAGTCTTGATCTCATTTCAGCTCCTAGAGTAAGCCCTTTATTTATGTTCATTTCATTCTCAAAACAGTTCTATAATTGCTGTTGTTATCCCAAGTACACACAGGAGATAAGGAGGCATAGATTATGTAATTTGTCCACGTTACATAATTAAGTGCTAGCAGGAATTGAAATCCTGGCAATGTAGCTCTAGAACCGTCTTTACTGTGACACTTTACTGTCTATCTCCATGGTGCCATGCACTACTTTGGGCCACTCCTTTTGCATAACTAAGACAACTGTGCAATAACACATTTTTATAAATAAGGTAACTCAAGCTTAAAAGTAGTCAATAATTTGCTCAAGATACACGGCCAGTTAGTGCCACTCCAGGGAATTTACTTAAAGCCAGTGAAGTGGTTTTCCATGACTCCAGAATAAAGTTTGTTAGACTGAATTTGATTCAATCATGCTATCACAGACTTCCATTATGAATTATGGGAAATTGACTACATTGGATTAAATGTTCTACAACAAAAGCAGTAACAACATTTTGTATTTATATACAGAGTTTGAGGGCAATTGCCAACATTAACTTTCTTACTTGCGTCCTCTCCACTCAAAGTCTTATACATAGATGGCAGAAATGGGTTTATCCCACAGGATGAAAAAGGAATTCTCAGAACTACACATTAATCTAATTAACCTAAGTTACTTTGACTCTACCTCATGGATATGAGAGAAAAGGCAGTTTCCATTAAGCAATGTTCTGTCACGTAAGCAAATTTCAGACCTGAAGTCAAAGTCTAACTATAGAATGTACAAAATAATCATTTTCTCCTTTGATGGGCAAAGAAAGTAGTCATCAATTATATAACAACCGCAAGACTTAGTGACTTAAAACAACTTTTATAAGTATGTTTATTGAAGAAATGTTGATTTACAACACCTTGTTTTAAGGGTAGAGGTTCACAACTCCATAGAAATTGTTCTGTGATGGATGTTGAGAAATATGTAATATTCTATTACCACTGCTATTAAACCTTGCCTGATCTATTCACCTAAACAAACAAACAAAACAAACAAGTAAAAAAACACCCAAAAGACCAGTTTTTCACTGGGCTTTTAGAAGATAGTTGTGATTAAAATGAATTTTTCTGCCTATGGCATAGCTAAGGGGCTTAGACTTTGTTTGTGGTAAATTTTCAATTCCCTGGTAGTTGGATGTTTAACTTAAATGGTCATTTATGTTTTTAATCACAAAACCAACAATTTCTCTAGATAGTCAATGTATTAGAATAGAACTTGAAATTCTCTAATAATACTTTTTACTTTCTCACAGATCTCTATTTTTATTTCTGTCTCATTCCTAATAGATTTAATTTTTTCTTTTAATCTATTTATGATTTCCGGTTTTATTCTTCTGATTTTGTTTGTTTTCCATTTATGTTTTGTTGATTAATTCTCGATTTCTGTTTTTGGTTATTCTTTTTCATATGTCAAATACCTATTTTCTGTGATCTGAAAACACTGGATTTCATAGGAAGTTTTTCTTTTTGATTAATTACTATATGACTTTCCATTTAGATTTGGGGGTATTCAAAATTGTGTTACTAATAGTGTTCTACAAAAGTAGAAACTTTGGGGATATGGTTCTGCAGTTTGTGGTTTTTTTTAAAGGATTTATTTGATTGATTTATTTAATTATTTATCAAAGATTTATTTATTTATTTATACAAGCACTGGGTACAGTCAGAAGCACGGGAGGGTGAGAGAATTCACCAGAGCCAGAGCGGGGAGCAGAGCAGGCAGAAGGACCGAAGTACACTGCTGAGGGGAGCAGCGGGCGGCAGGAGAGGTCTGCACGCCATGCGGGACCCTCCTCCGGTGGCCAGGGAGCAGCCGGGGATCGAACCAGCGCCGCAGAGGCTGCGGGCAGCTTCGCAACCCAGCGCTCAACCGCTGCGCCACCGGGGAGGCCCCAGTTTGTGTTTTTTAATAAACTCCAGGAGATTCTGGGCATACTACAATTTGATAGTCGCTGGGACAGAGTGAAAAATGGAAGAGGTTTCTGTTTTAAAATTTACAAGACTGAAGAATACAAAGAGAAATCTCAAAGTGAAGAAGTTCCATAGGAGGAAAACATACATGGAAGCCACGGGAGAAGCAGTTTTAAAATGGAGACAGTTAATATTGCCAAATGCTATAGACAGTTTAGTTACTGAGGGGCATTTGTACTGTTAATATTTCACAAAGTATGAAAGCCTGCCTTTTAACCTTTGGAAACTTCAATTTGCTTACCTGTAAAATGAATCTGGAGTCATGCTCTTTCAAACTTTATAAAGCCTTTGTGTGAATGAAATTAGTTATTATATGTCAATTATGAAACCAAATGAAGATTCCCGAGGTAATGTTCCCATACCATAAACATTAAATCTGGCCTTAGTCCTAAAATCTAACTTCAGTTAAAGTTCTTAAGATAGGTGCTTTTAGATAACAATGGTTCCATATATTTGCATGAGTTAGGTGATGGTAGAAGGATGATTGGAAAAATAGTGGAAATTCACAGAATACTTAGGGAATATCTCCTCACTATGGCACATGGAGCAAAAGGGTTACAATGGCAGAAAAGGCAGGCCAAAGTCATATTACAAAGGGTTGTCATTTCCTTGTTTAGAATATTGAAGTGACTACAGTAGGCAAAAAAGCAAGAGAACCTCACTATTGTTCATGTCTCTCAGATAACTTTCAGTATGTGGAAGATAAGGCTTAGATTTACAATTAATATGGCTGGTTTGTTTTGTATTTGGGGTTTGGTTTTGTTTTCATAGTTGGCCTGGTGATTTGATAAATTTGGATGTTATTGTAGTGGTCTAGAGTTAAATGAGGCGTTTCTCCTGTGGAAAAAGACCTCTTAAGAGTGGAAGATGGTAAGAGATTAAACCCGCAACGTTTCAGTGATAACAGAGGAACAGGGGCAGATGGAACGATTTCAGGGTTACATCGGAAGTATTTTTCTCCACCATCAGCAAACTATACTATTCTGTTATCTCAAACAGTATTTGATAGGTGAGACTTTTTCTGACATGCTGGCAATGGCACAGGTGGGGACTATTTCCTAAGCTATCACAAGGCTAAACACACATTCTTTAGCTCTCCAGCAGACAGATGTCTTCTTTAAAGTAGAAATCAGGGCCCGGTGGCGCAGCGGGTTGAGTGCAGCGCTGTGAAGCTGTCCGCAGCCGCCTCAGCCTCTGCAGCGCAGGTTCGATTCCTGGCTGGCGAGGGAGATACCCACATGGCGCGGCAGACCTCTCCTGTCTTGCCCGCTGCTCCCCTCAGCAGTGTCTTTGGTCTGCCTGCCTCTTACCTGTATCCCAGTTCTTGTATAAAATAAATCAATCTTTAAAAAAAGTAGTAATCGTATCTTTTCATTTCTGTGTTCCTCAAGCCTTCTAATAGTCCAAACGAGTGGGAAATTGGCATTCATAAATGACAGAAGATCACGGGGTATCATATAAAAAGCATCAGCATTAAACCCTGCACTAATTACCATTCAAACTAACCTTTCATGGCGATTGATTTATTTCTAAGAATCATTCTGAAACTGGTAAACTCCCCATCCGAAAATCATTATAGGAGCTAGAATAATAGCTCCCAAATAAGTTTGTTTTGTTTTCCTTAGCTGACTTTATCTATCTCCTCCTATGTGCTGGGGAGTATTCTAAGTATAGTTCGGTTTAACATCCAGAACGTGGGAGATTCCCATTCCCTGTCACCTGAAGGTGACTACAAACATCGTAATTTAAGTCTCCGAGTCTCCAAGGCACGCCAGGGTGCCGGAACCAAAGTGCCGCTGCTCGAATTTCCGGGAGAACACGCGAGTAAGTTACGACGAATCGATTGCTTTTGCCTGGCGGAGGCTTTCTAGGGGAGGACTGTGCCCTCGGTTCAGAGGAAAGGTGCAGAGTTCAGGGCGTCCTTATCCGAGAGGGCGCTTGAGCAGCTCAGGCTCCCAAGGTCGTGCCGGGTCTGTTTAACTGGCGACCTGGCGGGTGGAAGAAGTAAGACATGTTTGCACACGCGGTGAGGCGCGCCTTGCGCAAGAACAAGACCCTTCGCTACGGAGTCCCCATGTTGGTGAGTGCGGTGGCGCAGAAGTGTGGGGGTGCAGAAGTGTGGGGGCGCATTCCGGAAGGGGCAGGACCTTAGTTTGTTTGGGTTGAGGCTGTTTGGAATCTAATTCCAGGGAATAGCAACCTGGGCTAGACAGGAGCTGGCCATAGGTTGCCCCCACTGGTGCTGGGCCCTCCAGTCTCTTTCTCTTCCCTGTGAGTTACCAGTTTGAGCTTCAGGGGACGAATGTTGGAGCCGGATTTTAATTCAGGTAAAATGATTACAAAAGTTGCTACCCTTGGCCCCTCACCCCCACGGTTTGACGTGTTTCTGGCTCATTGGAACTGGTTGTGTATACTTAATTTTTAACTGGAAATTTCGGGAGTCTTCATGATTCGCCTTCCTAGTTTGAGAATTGGCTTAATTCTTCCAGGGTTATTGTTAGGAATTAAACAAAACCTTGTGAATCGAGTGTTTGGCACGCGACCGACCCCATGTAGTTTATATTTTTAAAGCACATTGAAAGTAGTTTTGGTGTTTATGTGTTCGTGTCCAGTTCTGTACTGAGTTCACTGAAGATCCCATCTGTCGTTCAGGTTGAGATTGGTATAAAAACCTGTCACAGATGGAATTCAGACAACTCTTCCCTTATTTAGTTCCTTTGATGAAACAATTTAAATAAAGCATGCGGGCAGAAGTCACTTTATAGTAATAGTAAATACAGAATAGTTTATTACTTTATTGATCTGTGTATTTTACTGATGTGGATATTGGCACAGGTGAAGATACCAGCTTTTGCACTTAAACTGGAGTAAGTAAATAAATGACCTTTAAAAAAGATTTTTTAGGGCCTACCTGGTGGCACAAGGAGTTAAGCACAGCACTATGAAGCAATTCGCAGCCTCTGCAGCACGAGTTGGATCCTCAGACAGGGAGCTACCCACATGGCGCAGCAGACCTCTCCGGTCTGGCCTGCTGCTCCCCTCAGCAGTGTACTTCGGTCATTCTGCCTGTTCTGTTCCCCACTCTGTCTCTGGTGAAGCCTCTCACCCCCCCACCCCCCCAATTCTGGCCTGTACCCAGCTCTTGTATGCATAAATAAATAAATCTTTAAAAAAATAAAAATAAAAAAGTTTTTTAATATGTGTGTGTATATATATATTTCCCCTTCCCCTTTTAGTGCCTCACATCTATGGTCAGCTTTCAAGGATTGGTTTTAAGTTTGTTTTTGACCCTTTGTTTGGTTTGTGTATATTTCACATAAGAAAAACCGTCTAGTATTTATCTAAAAACTAATTTTTTAAACTCATCTTCAGTGAATCTGGATTAAAAAAAATTTGGAAGCTCCTTTTTATATATCTTTTAAAACATTTAAAGAAAACTTTTTATAAGATATTCTTTTATTTTTTAAGATTTATTTTTTATTTATACAAGACCCAGGGGTACAGGCCAGATGTGCGGGAGGGTGAGAGATCCATCAGAGATAGAGCAGGGAAAAAAACAGGCAGACTGACGAAATACACTGCTGAGGGGAGCAGTGGGCGAGACAGGAGAGGTCTGCTGTCCATGTGGGTTGCTCCGAGGTTGGCAGGGATCGAACTGGTGCTGCAGAGGCTGTGGTCAGCTTCCCAGTGCTGGGCTCAATCACCTGTCACCAGCGAGGCCCGATAAGATACTGTAAAAGGTTACTCTGTATTGGTCTCTATCTGTACTGCACCTAGAGGACCATGTTTCAAAATACGGATCTTAAATATGTAAATCATTTTGTAGAGGAAAATATTGAATTCATTCTAAAATTGAACACTACTGGAAAAAACTTAAAAGATACAGCCTTTTCAGCATGTATCAGCCAAATATACCATAATTCCTATACTACATTTATCTTCAAGTAGAAATTATTTCCCCTCTTAGTTAAATAATGATTTACATATACCTGGTAGACTTGCATGTGGAGATATCAACAGGCCGGCAGGTCTTCAGTCCTGTGGGATATTTCCCATTGAAAATGTGCGTGTGGAGGCTGTTAGGTTATAGAAGCCACATTTAAAAATCATAGAACTGGATGACGTCACCCAGGGACACAGTGGTGTTGGCTGTAATAGGCAGTTTCCCTTTTGGGAAACTCCAACATTTTAAGGTTGGGAGGGTGAGGAGTAACAGGTAAAGGAAAGGGAGAAGGAGTTAGGAAAACCAGGATGTATCTTTTTATTGAACACAAGAGACACAATTTATTTGTGTAAAGAATTCTTCCATGTTAACATTGCAGCTTTTTTTTTTTTTTTTAAGATTTATTTATTTATTTATACAAGCACTGGATACAGTCAAAAGCACGGGAGGGTAAGAGGATTCACCAGAGCCAGAGCAGGGAGCAGAGCAGACAGACTGACAAAGTACACTGCTGAGGGGAGCAGCGGGTGGCAGGAGAGGTCTGTGCGCCATGTGGGACCCTCGCCCTGCGGACAGGGATCGAACCGGTGCTGCAGAGGCTGTGGACAGCTTTGCAACCCAGCGCTCAACTGCTGTGCCACCGGGGAGGCCCAACATTGCAGTTTTTGACATATTTTTCCTGATTTGCTGTCTATTGATTTTATGTGTTTTTTATTTCATTTATTTGTCAGGACAGACTTTCAGTTCTTATGTGGTCAGATTTATTAACTATTAAAATTCATAGATTCAGGTTTTTTTTAGTGTTCCAACTTCAGCATTAAAAACTTTTATATTATGTTATATATATTTTTGTATGTCTTTAATTGGTAATATTAATATATTGATATAAAAAGAAGGTAGGGAATAAACTATTTTGTTTCCAAGTTACTAGACTTCTGCAACTTTAGGATTAAAACCCATTAGATTATTAGACATGATAAGGCAGCAGTGACAATTCAAAGGATCTTCTAAGGTTTACTGATACTTAATGGGGTAGTTCATAAAATTATTGTCACTTGATAAGAACATGAGGGGAAATGCTTGGCAGTTGGCTTATTTTGCAAAATCCTACAATTGAAGGAATTCTAGTCTTGTAGAAACAATGCCAGAATTTTATTCCTGGCTTTACCCAATATAGTAATGGGCGATTAAGTCAGGTGATTATTTCGTCTACTAATAGATTTTTCTCCCTTGACTCAACGAATTAGTAAGAATCAATATAATAGAATACTTATGATGAAATTATTTAAATCAGGAGGTCAGGTGTAGGTATGGAGTTGATTTCGGTATTTGTTAATGTGCTAAAATAATTCCCAGGGACAGTATATACTGCATCCACTCTGAGAAGATGGTACTACAGTGTGACCTATAGGATTTTGTATGCTCTGTCACTGTTGACATTTAAATAGGTAATCTATAAGGAGTCTGAATTCTGTCTTCCTGTTTTTGCTTAATTGTTTCCTTTCTTTGTTTCAGTTACTGATTGTTGGAGGTTCTTTTGGTCTTCGGGAGTTTTCGCAAATCCGTTATGATGCTGTGAAGATTAAAGTAAGACCTGTAATTGGAATTGAATGTCTGTCTGTGTGTATATTACCTGATTTAGGAGAGGACTGTGCTTGCTGTAGTAGGCAGTCTGAATTTTGTTTTGTTTTTCAAGACTGATATATAATTTTTGGCCTCTTTCTTTTTTTAAAAAATAACATTAACAATCACATGGATATGAATCATGAAAAGTAAAGAATGCAGTAATCTTTCTCCCTATCCATTAGAAAATTGGTAATGCTATTAGCTTACTCCCACAAAATATGCCCTGCTTTTGTTTTTTTGTTTTGTTTTGTTTTGTTTTGAAGATTTATTTATTTTTATACAAGAGCTAGGGTACAGGCCAGAGGCATGGGAGGATGAGAGCATTCACCAGAGACAGAGTGGGGAACAGAGCAGGCAGATGACAGAAATAACACTGCTGAGGGGAGCAGCGGGAGCGACAGGAGAGGTCTGCTGCACCATGTGGGATTCTCGCCGGCTGGCCAGCCGGGATCAAATCCGCACTACCGAGGCTGTGGACAGCTTCACAGCATGGCACTCAACCCGCTGCGCCACCGGGGAGGCCCTGCTTTCGTTGTTTTTTAGGATTTAGAAGGAACTAAAGAATATGGGACAATGTCATTCTACTTTATTTCATGAGTTATGAATTAGTTATTTCATATTAATTCTAAGTAGTTTAAGAAATTATATTGATATGTAGCTTTAGTAACTATAATTAAAAGGAAATTACTTTTCATTATAAATAATGATGCCTGTCATTTTTATCCTTTTTATAGGTATGTATTTGTAGTAGGACTATACTAATTTCTTCATATATATTATTGTCTTATTTTACAGGTGAGGAATCTGCGGCTCAGAGAGCTTAAGTAACTCTGTGTAGGGTCAAATGTCTATTTAGGCATAGAAGGAAGATACCCACTTTCTATACTGTATAACTACTGTCAAATTCAGGCCAAATGTTATATAATAACTCCAGCTAATTCATTTACAAGTATTTAGTTTTTGTTTGTGTGAGATTATTTCATACATATTTTATGTGTGAGGTTATTTCCAAGTGATGTATATTTAATTTGTGGATCTCAGTGATGTTGGCTGGACATTCAGAAATATTAATATCACTCAATAGCCTCAGTCAATTTTATTGTTAAGAGGAATGCCAACTCCAGCTAGTCTTAAAGATAAAGATAGTAGGTATTAGAGTAAATATTAAATTTAAAACAAATACAGTTTTTGTGAGGAAATAGAACAATTATCAATTCTGTTAGCATCCCAATTATATTATTAAGGAATTTTTTCCCTTTTCCTTTTAGATGAAAGGTATAATAATCTAACCTTTAGAAGTAGGGTAACTTGTATGTATTTGAAAAACAAGTGAGTATTTGTCATATGTTTACTATGTGTTAGATCCTACAGATACAGATTCAAGAAACTGGTTCTTATAAAGCTCATGACATAAGTGACAGCGGATAACATTTAATACAAAAATGTACCCAAACATATAACGTTGTCCAGTCAAATGTTATATTAGAATTTTACATAAAATGTTACTCAGACTTCAAAGAGAGGCATACAGTTTGGACTTCGGAAGGGAGTTTCAGAGAAAGTTCTCTAGAGATAAAAACATTTGAGTAAGGCTTTATGAATAAGAGTTAGCTAGAAGTGGAAATGATTAATATTCTATAACAGGGGGGTATTTTGGTCAGATTTTCCTTTTAGAAATAATCTTACTCAAGATGGATGGATATGGATCAGGGAAGCAAGATAGGAGGTCAGATTTGGTGTTAATTGGAAGTGAAGAAACCTGTTAGCATACTTCGGTGGTAGTATAGATGTACAATTAATGGAACCTAAAATGAAACATTTAAAGTGAGGATAAAAAAATGAATGGGTTCCAGGAAAAAAAAGTTAATATAAATTGGTAGTATTTAGTGATGAATATGATATATATAATGTAAAAATATGAATAAATCTTGGATGATGCAAAGTTTTTGGTTTTGAGGACTGAATGGATAGTGCTGCTCATCATCCAGTTGAGAAAGAGTGAGGGAGGTTGTGATAATAGAAGTCTAAAAGATAGTGTCAAAATAAAGAGGACAAAGTTAAAGATGAGAGGATGAGATTGATTGAATTTGAGAGAACAAGATGAAGTAAAATGAACAAGGTTGAGAAGATAAAATTGGTTGTGGTCTGTGGAAGGAGGCTGACAAGGCAAAGTTGTGGTGAGAACGATGAGAGAACAGGACATACTGAGATTGAGAAATCCAGGTTGGATGTTGTTAAGTCAAAGTCAGTTGAAGCTAAGGGTGTGTATTTGGGTGAGCTTGAGTTCAAACAAGATTGAGAAGATTAAGATGAACCTAATTTGAGAGGGACTGAGAGAATAAGATTGGTTGAGGTTGATAGGGGCTACATGATTTAAGAGATTGAGAACAAGGGAATGTCAATACAGGGGTAAGAAGGTCAAGACTCATTCAGGCTGGGAGGACAAATTCAGTTGAGAAGGATCGAGAATGGATAAGTCCAGTTGAGAAGTTTTGAGGCTGGTAGAGAAAGATGGTATTGATTCAGAGCGACCAGCCATCTTAGTTTGCTTAGACTTCTGATTTTAAAACGAGAATCCTGCATCCCCAGCACATAAAAATGTCTGCTTTTCAATCGTGGGTATGGAAGGTTGAAAGGAAAGTACAGAACCCATGAGGCAGGCTTAAAAAAAAGCTAAAAGCAGTAGCTTCAGTTTTTCATATGAAATGGACATAGTTTGTCTTCCTTACTGGCTGTTATTCTTTTTCTTCCTGTCTCCTAATAGCCAGTTACCCTCCGACAAAGCCATTCTTTGAACACTATAATCCTGAATGCTAAAATCCCAAATGGTCCAAATCCTAAACTCTAAAATCTAAAAAAATTCCAATCCTCAAGATTTATTCCTGGAAAAAATAGCTTAAAAATTCTTAAAAGGCACTTATTTACATTTTTTTTTAAAGATTTATTTATTTTTATTTATACAAGCACTGGGTACAGTCAGAAGCGCGGGAGGGTGAGAGAATTCACCAGAGCCAGAGTAGGGAGCAGAGCAGGCAGAAGGACCAAAGTACACTGCTGAGGGGAGCAGCGGGCGGCAGGAGAGGTCTGCGCACCATGTGGGACCTTCCTCCAGTGGCCGGGGAGCAGCCAGGACTCGAACCAGCGCTGCAGAGGCTGCGGGCAGCTTAGCAACCCAGCGCTGCGCCACCGGGGAGGCCTTATTTACATTTTTAATGGGATTTATTTGGGGACCAAAGCTACTTGCTGATGTGGAGGTTCCTCCATTGTTACTGAACACATTAAGTGGTTACTATTCTTGATTAGGGATTTGACTGTTAAAGAAAATAGACTTACATTCACCACTAGCCACTTAATTTACCACTCATCACTAAATCTAACATAGAATTAACTAGTTCATGCGCCACTTGGGATATGAATAGCACCTTCAAAATTGTCCTCACTGTTTTTTTGAACTATATACATGCAATTCATGCCCCTATAAGATTCAGAAATTCTAGAGTTTATCTGCTTATTTATGTATTAATGACTAGGAAAAGCTAAGCACTTTATAAATACTGTATTTGAAGGTTTGATTGATTATGCAGAAGTAAATTTATTCATTTGAATCCCAAAATCTCATAATGACAGATTTGGAATTAGGTGCCATCAAGGTTTCTCAAAGTGAATTTCTAAGGTTTGTTTTCACATTTTAGCCCGGTACTCTTGGCAGAAAATTCATTCTTTCAATTTTTTCTGCATTAATATTCCTTCCAGCTAATGAAATTCCCAAAGAAAGAAATAAATCCCAGAAGCTTTTAATGAATTAAAGTCACATTTGCCTACTAAAGAAGCCAGTCTAGTTCCTTACTGGTTTGAAAATAATTATGTGCATAGTAGGAGAAAAAGGTGTTTACACAACAATGGCGATGTTTCTGCGAAATTTGTGGGCTTTGTATGAGTGCATGCAGAATGAATTTGTGCATACCTGAAACAACATAGAAGCAAGACTGAGAAGATGGGCAAATTTAATAGGCAATGCTCATGTCAGTGTATATCAAATCATAGAACTGCAAAAAGAGCTGTGTCACACAGAAAATGAATGTGAATGTATTCTTCAAGGGGAGTCTGCTCTTAAAAAGCAACTATCCTTCTTGGCGCAAGACTCCAAAATATAATTAATGATTGTGTCAACCAGTTCTTTGTCTCCCTCTGCAATTGCCCATAAGCTATCCCTGTAATACACTTTTTTATATGTTGAATTTTCTTTTTAGTTTTTGTTTTCCTTTTTTCAGCTTTTTTCCACACTCTTAAATTGTTGACATTTTCTTATAATTCACTATACTGTATTTCATCTTCTTGTCATTTCCAGTGCTGGAGGTATTGTGGAGAGAGTTTTAGAGAGTTCTAATTTATTTTATGCTTCCTCCCACAAGTTTGATTCTACAAAAATGCATTTTTGCAATATTGACTTAGTGTGTAAGCATTGTGTTGAAACTTCCTCAGTAAATGGAGAGGTCTCCTTTTTGTACATCTGTGTTTTTGAAAGTTAAAATTTCTCCTGACAGGCCTTTTATTGTGTCTGTTCTGTCTGTTTTTAATGAATTTCTCTCCCTTTTAAAATTGTAAATAAATGTACACACCTTTGTTCCCCCCAGAGTTGTTTTCCATACTTCGACCTTTCAGGATTGTGACTTTAGGATTTTACCCTTTGGGGATTTTGATCTTTTGAGATCTCAGTGTTGAGAATTGTAGCAGTTGGGGTTGTGACCAAAGTCTTTTAATACAACCACGGATTCAAAATATAGATCATCCATTACTACATCACTTCAAGTAATATGGCTAAGTGTGCACTAAGTGCATTGTAATCCCTAGCATTAAGTCTTTTCTTGACTTTTCTCGTCTATTTTACTTTGTAAGGAAATAGTGCAAGTTTAATTTTAACATTGTGAATATCATGACCATGTGTAAGAGTCAGATAATGA